CTGGCCAACATAGAGAAACACTGTCTCCACTAAAATACAAAAATTAGCCAGGCATGGTGGTGGACACCTGTAGTCCCAGCTACTTGGGAAGCCGAGGCAGGAGAATTGCTTGAACCCAGGAGGTGGAGGTTGCAGTGAGCCGAGATCACGCTACTGCACTCCAGCCTGGGTGACAGAGCCAGACTCCATCTCAAAAAAAAAAAAAAGAAAGAAAGAAAACAGAAAAGAAATCAGGTAATGTGATGCCTCCAGATTTGTTCTTTTTCCTTAGTCTTGCTTTGGCTATGCAGACTCTTTTTTGGTTCCATATGAATTTTATAATTGTTTTTTCTAATTCTGTGAAGAATGATGGTGGTATTTTGATGGGAATTGCATTGAATTTGTAGACTGCTTTTGGCAGTAGTCATTTTCACAATGTTGATTCTACCCATCCATGAGTATGGGCTGTGTTTCCATTTGTTTTTGTCATCTGTGCTTTCTTTAACAGTGTTTTGTAGCTTTCCTTGTAGAGGTCTTTTGCCTCCTTGGCTAGGTATATTCCTAAATATTTTATTTTTTGCAGCTATTGTAAAGGGGGCTGAGTTCTTGATTTGATTCTCGACTTGGTCGCTGTTGTTGTATAGAAGAGCTACTGATTTGTGTACATTAATCTTGTATCTGGAAACTTTGCTGAATTCTTTTATCAATTGTAGGAGATTTCTGGAGGAGCCTGTAGGGTTTTCTAGGTAAACAATCATATCATCAGCAACAGTGACAGTTTAACTTCCTCTTTACCAATTTAGATGCCCTTTATTTCTTTCTCTTGTCTGATTGCTCTGGCTAGGACTTCCAGTACTATATTGAAGAGGAATGGTGAGACTGAGCATCCTTTTCCTGTGCCAGTTCTCAGAGAGAATGCTTTCAACTTTTCCCCATTCGGTATTATGTTGGCTGTGGGTTTGCCATAGATGGCTTTTATTACTTTAAGATATGTCCCTTGTATGTGGACTTTGCTGAGAGTTTTTTTTTTTTTTGAGATGGAGTTTTGCTCATTACCCAGGCTGGAGTGCAGTGGCGCGATCTCGGCTTACCGCAACCTCTGCCTCCCGAGTTCAGGAAATTCTCCTACCTCAGCCTCCCAAGTAACTGGGACTACAGGCGTGTGCCACCATGCCCAGCTAATTTTTGTATTTTTAGTAGAGATGGGGTTTCACCTTGTTGACCACGATGGTCTTGATCTCTTGACCTTGTGATCCACCCGCCTGGGACTCCCAAAGTGCTAGGATTATAGGTGTGAGCCACTGCACCCTGCCCGAGAGTTTTAATCATAAAGGGACGCTGGATTTTGTTGAATGCTTTTTCTGCATCTATTGCGATGATCATGTGATTTTTGTTTTTAATTCTGTTTATGTGATGTATCACATTTATTGCATATATTAAACTATCCCTGCATCCCTGGCATGAAATTCACTTGATCATGGTGGATTATCTTTTTGCTATGTTGCTGGATTCAGTTAGCTAGCATTTTGCTAAGGATTTTAGCATCTATGTTCATCAGGGATGTTGGTCTGTAGTTTCCTTTTTTGGTTATGTCCTTTTCTGGTTTTGGTATTAGGGCGATACTGACTTCATAGAATGTTTTAGGGAGGGTTCTTTCTTTTTCTATCTGGTGGAATAGGGTCGATAGGATTGATATCAATTCTTCTTTGAATGGTAGAATTCTGCTGTGAATCGGTCTGGGCCTGGACTTTTTTTTGGTTAGTAATTTTTTTTTTTTTTTTTTTTATGAAGTTTCGCTCTGTCTCCCAGGCTGGAGTGCAATGGCATGATCTTGGCTCACTGCAACCTCTGCCTCCCAGGTTCGTGCTTCTCCTGCTTCAGCCTCCTGAGTAGCTAGAATTACAGGCACCTGCCACCATGCCCGGCAAATTTTTTGTATTTTTAGTAGAGACAGCGTTTCACCATGTTGGCCAGGCTGGTCTCGAACTCCTGACCTCAATTGATCAGCCTGCCTTGGCCTCCCAAAGTGTTGAGATTACAGGTGTGAGCCACTGCACTTGGTTGAGATAGTGGGTTTCTGTTGTGTATGGCACCCAGTGTGTGGTACTTTGTTTTGGGAGCCCGAGCAGAAGTAAGTCCTACTTGCCTTCAAGGAGCGGTTCCAAGGTGTTTGTGTCCCACTTGAGAACCATTCTGTTGAGGCAGCTGGAGTGACCAGAAGGTACGTCCTTGGGGCAGGAACCAGGGATATTCCTCACTACATCCTTCACACACTAGCCTAGAATGGGCTCCGAGGAAATTTTATTCCAACAATGTGTACTGAAAGAATGACCACAGGTGACCTGCAGTTCTCCAAGGCCCCTAACCTCTTTCCTGGAAAACTGTAAGACACTTGGCTCCCCCGGGGGTTGGTGGGAGAATTCATATGGCTCACGAAGATAAAAAGAAGCAAGCCTGGAAGCTTTGTACCAAGTTTTAGTCGCTGAAAGGGATTATAACTTGGGTCTCAACAATGCTGTTATTTAAAAGCTGAAGGATGAGTAGTTGTATTGCTCTTTTTTTTTTTTTAACTTTTCTGTCAAACTATCCACCTTCTAAGGGGGTTTAACACCAGCAAGGGCTACATAGGGATGAAGGAGGTGGTAACACCTGCCAGGGCTACACGGGGGGTGTGGCACGCAGGAAGAGTCACATTTACAAAGGGCCTCATAGTCAGCTTCTGGTACAGTTGCCTAATGATGTTATGCAGGCATTTGCTGGGATTTGTATGTATGTTAGGAGAGTTATCTCATTAAATGTAAATTCTTCAAATAGTATGCAGTCTATTTTAACCTTCTTTGCCATTAGTTAATTTTTGTTTTTAAAATTAGGGAGGCTCAAGAAATAAGAGTGGTCAGGGCCTGTCCTCAGTCTTCAGAGGGTCTGAAACTCCCAAACAGATCTTGACCCAGTGATTTTTCTGCAATGCTGAGTTAGCGCACCGTGAGATGCAGTTAGACGCTCCCTTGTTCTTTTACCACTTTATGGTAAAAGATGCTGAGATAAGTTAGGATTGGCGACCCAGCGTTCCTCTCCCCTCTAAGGTCATCTAGCCCAGTGCAGGGCCTCCTGTCCTGAGATGCTGATTATTCTTATCTTCACAGGAATCCCAACTCACTTCCGTGGAAGAATTTTTGGCCGAAAATATTCCCAAATGGTAACTATGTTATGGGCTGGATGTTTGTGTCACCCTAAAATTCATATGCTGAAACCCTAAACCCCGATGTGATGGAATCAGGAGGCATAGGCCTTTGGGAGATAATTAGGCCATAAGTGTGGAACCCCCATGAATGCGATTTGTATTCTGAAAGAAAAATATCTTGGGCCCCTAAAATCACTAAGGGAAGCTCAAACTGGAAACTGCTTAGCGCAAACATGCCTCTCATTCTATCCAAAGTCACTTCTTTGCTCACTGAAATAAATGCTTATCTGATCTGCCTCCTTTGGAAAGGCTAAGCAGAAACTCAAAAGAATGTAACAGTTTGTGTATTCCCTATCTGTGACCTGGAAGGTCCCTCCCTGCTTTGAGTCTTCCAGCCTTTGCTTCAAGTTGTCTCGCCTTTCCAGACTGAATATATTAATTGATGTCTCGCGTCTTCCTAAACGTATAAAACCAAGCTGTGCCTGACCTCCGTGGGCACATGTCGCCACGACTTCCTGAGGCTGTGCCTTGGGTGTGTCCTCAAACTTGGCAAAATAAACTTTCTAAATTAACTGAAATCTGTCTCATACTTCCTGGGTTCACAGTACTTTTAGAAAAGAGACCGCAGGAAGCTATCTAGTCATCTTCCCACTGGAAAAGAAGGGCCATCTATGAAGCAGCCCTCCCCAGACACTGAATCTTCCAGTGCCTTGATCTTGGACTTCTCAGCCTCCGGAACGGTGGGGAATAAATGTTTGCTATTTAAGCCACTCACTTTGTTGTATTCTATTCTAGCAGCCCAAGCTGACTAAGACACTGTCAAAAACAAATGATAACCTCGCCTGGTTCTTTTTTTCCCTTTTAGTAGACTTTCCAAAAATCTAGCTCTACCCAGTGGAAAGGCTATATTAATATCAGATAACAGAGACAGTCTGATCAATTTTCTTACTTTATAGGTTCACTTGACATTCTAGATCATAAGAATTTGTAATTTGCTAATTCAATGAGATTTCACGGAGGAGTTATAAGGATAATTTCCAGGACAGAAAAAGACCACAGAAAAAAAGATTAATATTGAAGAAGAGAAAGCCAAAGGGTGACAAGCTTTGTTACAAGGGCCAGTTGCCCTCCCCCAAACTCATGGTAGAGAAAAACATGAAACGGACTAAAATAGAACAACACAAATTTATATTAGCCTCCACAATCAGTTTCCCAAAGACTGTGTTCACGACCACGCGGTGAAAATCTTACATCGTCTCTTTAGAATTTCTAAATGGTAAAGCTGGGGTGGAATTTAGGATCCTGTGAGTGAAAAGTTCTCATTTTCCAGAAGAGGATTCTGAGAGCCAGGCATGAGTGGAAGTGTCAGGAATAGAATCCGGGTCCCTAACACTTAGCTGCCATCTTTAATACTTAGCTTCTTATTTAGTCTAATCCAGTTCAGAGGTTATAGAGTTGTTGATTTCTTAAAATTCCTTCTGGATTACACAGTTGCTGATTCTAAGTAACAGTCATAGGATGGAAGTCTGTGAGCTGAACTGATCAGATCCCACAGGCTGTTCATTGCAGAGATTACTCCCAAACCAGCTGAGGCCCCGTTACTATTTTTTTGGGGGGGAATGTTAAACATGTCAAAGATGAATTCCTCTAATGGCTATGGCAAAGCCGTTTGGTGTTTGGTTTACATGAAAGTCACAAGACACTGAGTGTTCTTTTTTCTCCACTTGCATTTTTCTCTGTTTGGTGCAACTACTTAGTAGTGGAACACACAGCTCCTGAAAGGGGGAAGTGACTTAGAAGATGAGGGAAGTGGAAGGAATAGTTGAAACAACAAAAATACCTTTGTTATTCTTTTTCTTCCCTGAAGTAGTTTTCACTGTTACAGCTTCAGATGATTCTGTAATCTGGTTCATAGTTGAACTTCCTCTCTGTTTGGCTGGTTGGAAAAAAAAAAAAAGATTTTTTTAAAAAGCAGCCTGTTCAAAGTCAAATGAATGGGTTTCTGACACACCTTAATGCTGGTTGTGGCCTTTATTTTATGTTCACTTTACCCAGAGATATTTCTGACCAAAGAGAATGATCTGACCTCTTGTCAAGATCCCATTCACTTCAGTTTAGTACCATGGTTTTGTTTTTTTTGAGATGAAGTCTCGCTCATCGCCCAGGCTGGAGTGCAATGGCGCCATCTCTGCTCACTGTAACCTCTGCCTTCCAGTTTCAAGTGATCTTCCCACCTCCGCCTCTCGAGTAGCTGGGATTACAGGTGTGCACTACCCCACCTAGGTAAGTTTTTGGATTTTTAGTAGAGATGGGCTTTCACCATGTTGGCCAGGCTGGTCTTAAACTCCTGACCTCAAGCGATCTGCCTGCCTTGGCCTCCCAAAGTGCCGGGATTACAGGTATGAGTCACCACAGCCAGCTCGGTCCTGTGGCTTTTGTGTTTCTTTCCTTAAAGTCTCAGGGTGAACATGCAACCAACTAGAGCCCAGGAACCATCCTGCCAGCATTGTGTTACTTCTTCTTTACATTCCAAAGCTGCCCTCTTTAAAAGTGACTCCAAAGCCCTGGAATTAGTAAGAATGTAGCAGGGAGGAACACTTTGTTGGCATGTTTAAAGCAACATATTATAATATATCACTCTGGAGTCATTCTAGACTCTTCCTTTCCCTTGTACCCTACATCCAAACCGTTAGGAAGCGGGATAATGCAAAGTCTGACTGCTTCTCACTGCCTTCCCTGCTAATGCCTTCATCTCACCTGGGTAGACAGCTCTCTCCTAGAGGACAATGGTCACCCAACAGGCCTCCCTGCCCACCCTCACGCTTTCTTGCCTACCCTCACCCTTTCCTGCACACAAGAAGAAAAGGGAATAATGTAAAAATGAACATTGTGCTTAGATTTCAATTCTACTTATTCTGCAAAATCTTGTATTAAAAAGTATTTTAGGCTGAGCATGGTGGTTTAAGCCTATAATCCCAGCACTTTGGGAGACTGAGATGGGCGGATCACCTGAGGTCACAAGTTCAAGACCAGCCAGCCCAACATGGCAAAAGCCTGTCTCCACTGAAAAACATAAAAGTTAGCCAGGCGTGATGGCGCATGCCTATAATCCCAGCTACTCGGGAGGCTGAGGCAGGAGAATCACTTGAACCCGGGAGGTGGAGGGTGCAGTAAGCTGAGATTGCCCCACTGCACTCCAGCTTGGGTGACAAAATGAGACTCCGTCTCAAACAAATAAATAAAGAAAAAAAAAAACAAATAAAATTGTATTTATACCATAACAAGTAATTAAGATTAAGAAAACAAATTTGGGTTCAATCCAAGATGGCCGATTAGGAGCAGCTCAGGATTGCAGCTCCCAGTGAAAGTGCAGAGGGTGAGTGGATTCCACATTTCCAGATGGATTTTTATTGCCCACAGACCAGGAGATTCCCAGGCGCAGGAGCCCCATGGATTGCCAGTGTGGCTGGTCTGGCCGGCAAGGCTGCTTTGCGGGCGCCCCGGGGCGGCAGTTCTCCATAAAAAATACACAGGTCTGGGCACTGTTTTAGCTGGCAATTGGAGCTCCGGGAAGGCAGAGTCACCCATTCATCTGATTAAAAAGGGGACTGAAACAGGGAGCCAGGCCAGAAGATTCCCGGGCAAAAAAGTGTCGTGAATCTCAGTGCTGCTGTTTCAGCCAGTGCAGTGGGTCACCACATGGGAAATCACACAGATCCCAGTGCCTTTCAACAGGCGACTGGAACACCTGGGAGAGAGTCGACCGTTCAACTTAAAAAAAGGCTCTGAGGCAGGGAGCCAGGTGATCAGCCTCGGCTGATCCCACCCCCACAAAAAAACAGCAACTGGAAACACTCTGGGTTGAGAGTTTCACAGCATGCACAGCTGAACCGGGGAAGGTCCAGCTCTGTGGGGGAGGGGTGTCTGCCATTACCGAGGTACTCCACCACTACGGAGGTAGTCCGCCATTGCTGAGGCAACCCGCCATTACAGAGAGAGTCTGCTATTACAGAGGTGGGCTGGCTTTGCCGGGGCAGTTCTAACTACACACGTATAAACAGGACTGCAGGGAAGTTGACACAGCAGCTGGGCGGAGCCCCACAGCAGCTCAGCAAAGCCTCTCCGGGCAGATAGTGACTAGGCTGCCTAAACGCTGGGCAGGGGAGCCCTGATAAAAAGGCAGCAGCACAACAGAAACTCATAAATAAAGCCCTAACTCCCTGGGACAGAGCACCTGGGGAAAAAAAAGGGGTTTATGAGTTCTGCTGCAGCAGACTTAAACGTACCTGCCCAGCAGCTCTAAATGAACAACGGAGCTCACAGTTCAGCACTTGAGCTCACTGAGACACAGACTGTCTCCTCAAGCAGCTCCCTGATGCCCATATATCCAAAGCGTCACCTCATAAAGGAGAGCTCAGACTGACAATTGGCGGGTATCCTTCTGGGACAAAGATAGCAGAAGAAGAAACTGGTAGAAACCCTTACTGTTCTGCAGCTGCAGCAAGTGATCCCCAGGCAAGCAGGGCCTGGAGTGGACCTCAGCAGTCCTACAGCAGAGGGGCCAGACTGTTAGAAGGAAAACTAAGAAACAGAAGGAAATAACTTCATCATCAACAAACTGGACATCCACTCAGAGACCCAGTCTGAAAGCCAACAACTACAAAGATGACAGCTGGATAAATCCACAAAGATGGGAAGAAGCCAGTGCAAAAAGGATGAAAGCACCTGAAACCAGAACACCTCTCCTCCTACAAGGGATCACAACTCCTCACCAGCAAGGGAACAAGGCTGGATGGAGAATAAGTGTGATGAATTGACAGAATCAGGCTTCAGAAGATGGGTAATAAGAAACTTCTGTGAGCTAAAAGAACATGTTCTAACCCAATGCAAAGAAACTAAGAACGCTGAAAAAAGATTTGATGAAATGCTAACGAGAATGGACAATTTAGAGAGGAATATAAGTGAATTGATGGAGCCGAAAAACACAACACGAAAACTTCGTGAAGCATGCACAAGTTTCAACAGCCGAATTGACCAAGCAGAAGAAAGGCTATCA